GCCACCCTCACCCTCTTCCCTATAGCCTTTGTATACCCTCCTTCCCTTGGCTCTTGCTACCCATTCTATGCTCCAGCAATGAAGAGGCTATTAGGCTATTTGGCATCATTTCTGCTTATGATCTCCTATAATATCTTTCAAGTCAAGAGGTTGAACCAATTTAATACTGGCCAGACAGGGCCTGAAAGCAACAACTCCCTTGGGACAATGTTTTGGTCTTACCCTACAGCTAAGTTAGCTCCGTCTGAACCCATTTTACTCTGCTTACCTTCAGGAAGGGGTAGCAAGCTATTTGCTGACTCCACCTGGATCAGGCCTATAAATGCGTATAAATTCCTGAAATTTTCTGAATTTCAGTGTATGGAGGAGCTCAGGTAGACAAGGGGGTGAGACTTCAAGTCTCATTTACACAGGATTTATCTGACTGAGAAAATGTCGTTGGACAACACAAAAATGAGAGGGACAGAGGAGTCATGTACAAGTAAAGCCCCCTTGCCCCCTGGCTCCTTCTTAGCACTGCTATCGATCAAACCAGGGCACACGCAGCAAGGAGAAATCCTCTTAGCTTTTCACAACTGCCTTGGAAATGGCATTACTTTTCCTCAAAAAAACATGGAGCATCTACACATTTCCTCTAAGGATCCCCTGGATTACTCAGTAACATATCCACTGTTGTCTCAAATGATTGCTATAGGAAATGACATTCTACCAGCAAGTTGGTTAAGAGAGTGCCTTAGAAATGTTCTGTCTGCACATATCATCATTTGAAGCTGGACCCTAACTTTACAGTGGTCCAACGAACTGCTGAGACAGGTCCCTGTTATATGTGCAGACAGGTTTATGCAGGACTCCTCGTTCCTGGAAAGAATGTTCATTTGACTTAAAGAATATAAATAAATAAAAGTATTTCCTCATACTAAAATGAGATAAGTCACAGGGGAAGATTGGAATTATTCTTCTCAAGCCATGGAGTAAAATGGTAAGAAAATTTGATACTGAAATAAAAAGACAAAGGTTTCTAATTCAGATGGCAAAACTGAGAAGCAAGGTCAGGAAGAGCAAATGAAGCCATCTGAGTCTCAGTGACAGTCCTGCTGACGCTGTGCGGGTCACAGGGCACCAGTTTCCCTCGGCAGGACATAGAATCAGCTTTGTGCCCAGTAGGAAATATTGCGTTATTTCAGTTAGTTTTACAATATGTTCCTATATTCTTCTATAGATAATGTAAACATCTTAGTCCTTACTTTATAGTCTGTTTTTAAGTATCTTGCATTATAGGTAATCCTATAAGCATTAAAAATATGAACCTCCAAAACAAGTTACAGGATGATGTTGTACAATGCAACATTTATTTTATTTCCTTTTATTTTTTTTTAGGGAGGGTGCCAGTGAGTGAGGGGCAGAGAGAGAGAGAGAATCCCAAGAAGGGCGGTGGAGGGGAGAGAGAGAGAGAGAGAGAGAAGCAAGGCTCACCCCAAGCTGGGCTCTTGCTCGCCTGAAGGGGGAATTGAACTCCCACACCGTGAGATCATGACCTAAGCCAAAGTCAGATGCTTAATGGACTGAGCCACCCAGGTGCCCAAGCAAAATTTATTTTTAAAGAGATTTAATTCATGTTGCATAATCCCCTAGAACATTTTTAAAACATGAATTTGAATTACAAATTCAATACATACATTACAGAAACCAATATAATTTAAATTTTTATCACAAACTATATACAACTTTTGAAAAGGGATATGGTATAAGTCTATAATAAATATCATTAAGTAAAAGAATGAAAAACTGACTTCAAAAATAGGAATATAAGAATTTATTTTTGAATTATTTCTTTTATAAAAGAAGATAAAAAGATTTTAAAAGATGCTAATAAGACATGGACTTGGGTAAAAAGTAAAAACCAAGATAAAAGACCTATAAAACAGTAGTTAATCACAATTAAAATATTTTAATATTGAAGAATGAATTTTTGGACACAGAAACTGAAGGTATTAAGTATTTATCCTTTATTTCTTTTTTTTTTAATGTTTATTATTTTTGAGAGAGAGAGGGAGACATGGAATCCGAAGCGGGCTCCAGGCTCTGAGCTTCAGCACAGAGCCCAACACGGGTTTCAAACTCACAAGCCACGAGATCATGACCTGAGCTGAAGACAGACACTCACCCTACTGAACCACCCAGGCATCCCAGAAGTTATCCTTTATTTCTTGAACCCTGGTTTTGAAAAACTAAGTACTCAACTTTTTATTCAAGAATCCCAATGTTCATAGCAGCACTCTCAACAACAGCCAAAACATGGAAAGAGCCTAAGGGTCCATCAACTGATGAATGGACCAAGAAGATATGGTTTATCTATATGATGGAATACTATATGGCAATGAGAAAGAATGAAATCTGGCCATGTGTAGCAACATGGATGGACCTTGAGGGTGTTATGCTGAGCAAAATCAGTCAGGCAGAGAAGGACAGATACCATATGTTTGCACGTATAGGAGGATTAGGAGGAACTTAACAGAGGACCATGAGGGAGAAGAAGGGGAAAAATAGTTGGGGAGAGGGAGGGAGGCAAATCATGAAAGAGTCTTGAATGCTGAGAACAAACTGAGGGCAGATGGGGGTGGGAGAGAGGGGAAGAGGGGTGATGGGCATGGAGGAGGCCACTTGTTGGGATGAGCACTGGGTGTTATATGGAAACCAACTTGACAAAGAATTATTAAGAAAATAAATAAATAAAATTTTAATAAAAAAATAAAGAATCCCAAGTACGAAATCTGAATATTGGTGGGAGTTCAAACCAGTAAATACCACAATGTAATTAACCTTCATTTCATAGGTGGGAAGATGGACAGAAATGGAGTAGAGAAGTGAGTCAGTAGTGGGTACTCATCTGAATGAAAGCATTCTAATGCCCTGAATGCCCAGGACCACAGAATGTTGCAATTGCAAGGGATTTCAGATGTCAGTGGTCTAGCCTTTTATCTTGTTGGTCAGTATGCATTTATCTCATAAATTGATGATTTTGGAGGACACATATTGGCAACTTTTAATCCTTCCTAATGTCAGTGCGATATGGTCTGAGAGAAGTCAAATCCACTGACCAAGAGGTTCATATCTGCCTCATTTCTAGCTCATCCTACATACATACCTTCTATGGTGAACTTACTGAGTATTTCCTCACTGGACTGCACTATGGTGGTGCTAAGTCCTCACAGTATTTCATTTTCCTTTTCTATCTAGTTGCAGGGGAACACAATAGATTTACCATATTCAAAAACCCTCTCCTTGGAACTGATCTGAGTTCGAGAAAGGTGGAGCTTGAAGTAACCTGTGGGAGTACTTTTCATTCTCATCTTTCTACATCTTAACTTACCTCAGTGGAAAATATTATTTATCTTTATCTTTCTTTTAATGTTTTATTATTTATTTTTGACAAGGTGAGACAGAGTACTAGCAGGAAAGGGGCAGAGAGAGAGGCAGACACAGAATCCAAAGCAGGCTCCAGGCTCTGAGCTGTCAGCACAGAGCCCGACACAGGGCTTGAACTCACAAACCACGAGATCAAGACCTGAGCCAAAGTCAGAGGTTTAACTGACTGAGCCACTCAGGTGCCCCTCTCTTTATCTTTTAAGGTGACCCAAAAGCATCTGAAACTGGGTCTCTAAGTATAACATGTGTCCTCCAATGAACTGCCAAAATTCATTGTCTTTGAAAGTAAAAATATCAAAACTATGTAGTCATTTAAAAAGAATGAGTTTGAATGACATGTTTGAGATTTGATGTTTGCAATGAGGGCAAAAGGCAAGTCCTAATGGTAAATATGTGAGTCCATTTAAAATATTTTACACTTATTTGTTTGTAAAAAGGCATGGAATGATGCACTCAGTGGTTGACTGGAGAGTGGGACCGTGGTGTGCAAAGAGGGTTAGGAAGAGGACTCAAGCTTTTTCCTTTATTCATTTCTGAATTGTCTGGATGTTTCACCAGGTGTGTACTTAAATTCTTAAAAATTCAACATCACGTGAACACATTCACCAAGAATCCTTATCGATCTTTGCTGCATTAAAAGTCTGGGAAACTGTTAAATTCTTGGTTTGACTGGTTCCATAGAGAGTTTAATTGCTTCTGGTTCTTTGCTGGGTACCAGGCTACAAAGATCAATAATATCTGGTCTACAACAGGATGGAAATTTGCCCCAAAATGCAGATAAGAGGAAAAGAGGATTTGGTTTAAAAAAAAAAAAAAAGGCACCATCACCACTAGGGATACATCAGCACCCTCACTTGTATCACAGTTGGCCTTCTGTAGGCTTCATCTTTTGGCAGCACCACCGGCAGACGTCATCCTCTCATTCTTAAAAGTCAAATTTAGGATTAAGACTCCAGTTAATACCGCTGAGCGGGAAGTGTCCTTGGGGAAAGAGAAGTCCCCCGAACATACCCACTGGGGTATCCAGAATTGATTTTGCAGCTGCACAGATTCCTGTCTTGTCTGGAGTCTCTGCTGAGTAATGTACATTCTGGGACAGCAAACGGGCAACTGGTGACTTTGAACCAAATTTTACCTTTCAACTCAATCCAGGGAAATTGCAACAGAGTGGCCCACGATGCAAAGTGCTATGTTGAACGCTAGACTGTGCTTTATGTTTTTCCTCCCAACTTCACTGTCCATGCACCAAAAGGTTGATGCTACAAATATTGGATGCCACACTTACCTGACAAGCTTCTTCCATCCCACCTGGGCGCGGGGGCTCTGAGCGAGCGCGCGAACCGTGGCTGGAGCCCGCCTCTCGCGGCCGGAGCGGACTCGGCGGGCCGCGGGTTCCCCTGCCGGCCCCAGTGCGGGAGCCGCTTTCTGCCCGGGCTCCCGCAGTCAGCCCCCCGCGCGCACGCGCGCTCCCGCCGGGGCGGCCCCGGCGCCTCCAGTCTTCGGCAGGGCTGCGACTGGACAGCTCCGGCGGGCGGGGCGGGGCGGCTAGGGAGGCTCTCCGCGACCACGTGACCGGCACTAACATGGCGGCGCCCAGCGGCGTCCACCTGCTCGTCCGCAGAGGTAAGCACCTGGAGGACGGCCCCGCGGGGGATTGCACGGTAGCTCATTCGCTAAGCACTGGGGCTCAAAGGGTTACACACCCGCGTTCAGACATCTCGACGCACACTAATGTACTTTCAGTTCTACCGAAACGCCAGGCACACGGGCTGACACATGGACAAGCCGCAGGGACAGATAGACACGTTTGTTCCCTCGTCGCTTGCCTAGACTCCGTCACTGCCTGGCACCTATTCGCTGTCACTCCTTGAGATTTCTGAGACATTGTCTTAAGTTTTCCCCCACGTCAGTTGTATGATTCGCGATGAACCTATGGTAACTCTAAAATGTGCCTGGATACTCAGTTGCCGGAGAGAAAACAGTTGGTGTTTGTTGTTTCTGTTGACATGACACAACACGTCTTTCGGGAAAGTTGCAAATTGTGATTATTCTTTTACAGGACTTAAAGTTAAGAAGAGGAGAAATTGTCTTAGTAGGTGGTATCCTTGTGTGAGTGGTGAGGTTTTAGTAAACGTGCATATAGTTTTGAAGGTAAATTAGGGAAATCCTTGTTGGATTTGAACTAGTTTCTGAATCTTGGTTAGAAAGAACTAGGAAGTTGTTTCAAGGATTGGGAAAGAGGGGAGCTAACATATTTTGAGGGAGCTTAGGTGTCAGCTCCTGTGAGGTAAACGTTATTTTCACAGGAAACAGCTACCATGTATTAAGTGCTTTTTAAATACATAATACTGTGTCAGCACCTTACATATGCTAGCTACCTTTTTTTTTTTAATGTTTATTTTGAGAGAGAAGCAGGGGGAGGGGCAGAGAGAGAGACAGGATCCGTAGTGGGCTCCTCCCACGAAGCTGAGCTCTTGACCTGAAGTCCTAAGCTTAACAGACTGAGCTACCAGGGCACCACTGCTAGATACCTTTTAAAACCTAATGAACTAGTGAGCTAGTGCCCACTTTGGCAGCACGTATACAAAAATTGGAATGATACAGGGCAGATTAGCATGGCCCCTGGGCAAGGATGATATGCAAATTCTTAAAATGTTCCATATTTTTTGGAATTAAAATTTTAAAAATTAATATTTGTTTATTTTTGAGAGAGAGAGACAGAGAGTGAGCGGGGGAGGGGCAGAGAAGGAGGGAGACACAGAATCTGAAACAGGCTCCAGGCTCTGAGCTGTCAGCACAGAGCCCAACGTGGGCCTGGAATTCAGGAACTATGAGATCATGACCTGAGCTGAAGTTGGAGGCTTAACTGATTGAGCCACCCGGGTACCCTTAAAATAAAAAATTTTTTAAATAAGTAAAGAGAAACTGTACTGTGGGAAAAAAAATGAACCCAATGGGTTAGGCATTACTCCCTGTTTGCAGATGAGAAAACTGAAGCAGTGACTAAGGTCACACAGATTGTGAGAGGCAAAATGGGGTTTGAACATGACCATTTTTTTTTTAAAGCTCATTCCTCTGCCCTGCATAGCATGGTTTCCCCATACAAATCAGCATACAACATTCAGATGAGACGAAAAGTATGCTGAGTGTGTGAAAAGTAAGAGGAAGATGTTTTTAGAGAGGAAGGAGGTTGGTTGGCAGATACACCTCAGCATTGCAGTGTTAGTGGAGATGAGTAAGGAGCCACAGGAAGATTTGAAGTGAGAGATGTGTACGAAGAAGGTGATGTAAGCAGTATTTTGGACTAGTTGGATGGAAGAGTGGAAGTCAACCTGAGAGTGCAGCCTTGTGAAAAGAGGCCCAATTTACATCTCTTAAGATCTGGGCTCCAGGCCAAGCTGTGTTTACTAATCAAGTTATTTTTCTGTTTCCTCTTTTGACAAGAAATAATGGTGCTTAGACTTTTTTGTTTGCTGCAGGTAATGGTGAAGAGGCTCTGGGGACATAGTCAAGGTGGAGTAGAAACCAAAACACACAAACATGTTTATTATATATACACACATATGTATGTGTGTGTGTATATATGTATGTAATCCATGCAGATTACAGAAAAAACATTAATCTCTTTTTTTTTCACTTAGACAAACACTTATACACTTATTTTGACAAATGGTGGTTCAGACAATCTTGGGAAAAGATGCTCTAGGGAAACCAGGTCAAACCTGGGTTCCTATAACCCATCCCACTCTATGCCATAGTGCTGCAACAACTAAAAGAAGGATCTTCTGATTAGAACACAGAGAGAAAATGTGTCATCAGGAAAAGATTTAGTGACTGGGAAAAGTCCCCTTTATGGACTATCCATAATTAGTTTTAAATTACAGACAGGTACAACCTGTACAGACAACCTGGTACAAACCACCTGCTCCCCATCCCCCAGGGTGGAAAACGAAGGGTAAATTCAAGGAGGCTTCTCTCCTCTCTTGTCCTCCTTTTCACACACTTAAATTGTTGTAAATCAATTCACTCTAAGTCTTTCTGTGTCAGGGTTTATCATTAGCATCTATGTGCATCTTTCCCTCCTGGAAAATAGGAAGAAGACATGTTTTTAACCTCTTAAGAAGGACATGAGGTTCTTCTGACGACTCTCCAGCTCACTGTAAACCTCCTCTCAGCATTCCCACTCCTAACTAGATTGTTAATTCTTGTTCAGCAGGAACTATGTCTTATCTGTCTATTTTAACAAGCAAGTAACTGGGTCAAAATTATTCTCATTAAACTTGCTGAATTGAGAGGCTATTAAGACTTGTTCTCTCCCATCATGGGTTAAGCGATGGGTAGAAACTATGAGTAGTGACATTGGAAAGGAGAAAGGACAGATCAGTCTCTTGGAACCAAGAGATAAGGTAACAAGAGCCTTTTAAGGATGAAAGTATTCCCTGGTATTAGCACTGGCAGGAAATCCCAGATCACAGTACATAATCCCTACCTCCAGACACCAGGAACTCTTCCTTGCTTAGTCTCTCACTGCCAGTCCCCACCTACTAGAATCCTCATTTCAGCTCCTGAAGCCACTCTGTAATACCCTTTGTATGGGAAGGAATGGGGAAGGCAAGTAAATGGGGCATACTTTCTCCTTTACACTTTGATCACTTTTATGAGCCAGTCTCTCCTGGATTATCTTCTATCTCTCTGATTTTCCCAGACTTTCACTAGGCTCTGTCTATTGTTAGGTTTCTAAATATTATTGCTCCACAGGATTCTGTCCTAATGCCTTATCCCTGCTTTCTCTCTCTGTTGTCACCAAACAAATTTATCTACCTCAATGACTGTCAAATCTAGATGATTTTTAAAAATGAACAGAGTATCTGCTGGAACTGGGCACCAGGCCTCAATGCCAGCTCTCTCTTGGGCATCTTTTCCTAGATGTCTCATAGTCCCCTTAAACTCAACAGGTCCAACATGGAAATGAATATTTGTCTCCACGTCTTCTTCTCCTGTGCCTGTATAGACTCTATCCCCATTAATGGTATTACCATCCAGTCAGTATCTCAGCATTTGAGTTCTCCTGGTTCCCACCATTTCTTTTCATTTCTCTGTCTAGTGAGTCAGTAACTCCCATTTCATTCATTCATTCATTCACTCATTCATTCATTTATAGAACACTAACAGGGGAGAGTCAGATAGAGACTCTCAAGCAGGCTCTATGCCATCAGTGCAGAGCCCGACATGGGACTCAAACTCACAAACTGTGAGATCATGACCTGAGCCGAGATCAAGAGTCAGACCTTTGACTGAGCCATCCAGGTGCCTCTTTACTTAATTTATTTTAATTCAGGTATAGTTAACATACAGTAGTTTGTTAGTTTCAGGTATACCATAAAGTGATTCAACAATTCTATACATTACTCAGTGCTCATCATGATAAGTGTACTCTTATCCCAGTAAGTCCCTTCTTGGATCCCTCCAGTTTTCTGTATGGTCTCACTACAAGTCTTTACCATTCTTTGGCTAGGCAGGGCCTTTATAATTGGTCTCTACCTCAGTCCATCCTCTTCCCCACAGCCACAGTTATTTCTCTAAAATTCTGATCTGATTAGGATGCTTCCCTGCTGAAAAACTTCTGGGAACTCTTCATTCTGACATAAAGTCTGCATCCCATAGCATGCAAAGCCAGCTCCATCACAGTCTGGCCTCACTTTATCTTTTCAGCCTCCCCTCCTGTCAGTTCCCTGTCCTCATGTACCTGCTAAGGTTTACCACTGTGTGCCTTTTTGTGCTCCTGCATTGTCCTTTTTCAGCTGACAACCATTCATCCTTCAAGGCCACACAGAAGTGCCATCTCTCCTTTGAGCTTTCTTTGCTTCTGCCCAGCCAAACTAACCCACTCTGCTTGTATAGCACTTGGGGCATGCCTTTACCATAACACTTGTCACCTAGCATCAAAGCATGTACTCTTCTCTAAAAAACATTAGCTGACACCTATATCTCCCTGCTAGAATGGGAGCTGCTGCTGCTGCTGCTGCTGCTGCTGCTGCTTCTACTACTACTACTACTACTACTACTACTACTACTACTACTGCTGCTGCTACTACTACTTTCAAAAGAGGAGTAGTTTAGGCTTTTTTTTTAAGTTATAGTTTATTGTCAGGTTTGTTTCCCTATAACACCCAGTGCTCATCCCAAGAAGTGCCCTCCTCCATGCCCATCACCCCCCCTTCCTCTCTCCCCCACTCCCATCAGCCCTCAGTTTGTTCTCTGTATTTAAGAGTCTCTTATGGTTTGCCTCCCTCCCTCTCCTTAACTATTTTCCCCCTTCCCCTCCCCTATGGTCTGCTTTTAAGTTTCTCCTGTTCCACATGTGAATGCAAACATATGGTATTTGTCCTTCTCTGCCTGAGTTATTTCACTTAGCATAACACCCTCGAGTTCCATCCATGTTGGTACAAATGGCCAGATTTCATTCTTTCTTATTTAGAATGGAAGCTTCTTACAGGCCTGTCTTACCTTCTTCATCTATCTCCCCAAAGCCTAGAGCACAGTGTCTGCACATAGTAAGTGCTCCGTTTCATAACTGAATGAAAACTCTTTCAGAATGCAACTTCCTATAGAAATATTTGTGCACTAAAGAATAATTATCTCAAAACATCAGTTTTCTTCACATAACAGGCCTGCCTAGGTAGTGATTTATTTCCTTCCTTCCTTCCTTCCTTCCTTCCTTCCTTCCTTCCTTCCTTCCTCTCTTTCTTTTTTATATTTCATCCATTTCCAAGAATAATTTAAGGCAATTTTACTTTTTCATATCTTTTTGACAACTGTGAGAATTTCCACTCCAGGTAATTTGAATTGTGAACCAGACTTATAATTAGAAAACAAGAAGCTGAAATGGGGGAAGGGAAAAAATCTAAAAGAGAAATGCTTGAAATTTAAGCAGTATAGCCATGGGAGAGGTGAAGGACGCTGAGGGAAATAAACCCTTGCACCTAAGCACTATCCTGCTGTCCTTCCACAAGCCATGTGGAAGGAGCTGAAGCTGTGAGAGGAGAGGGGGCAGACTTTTGGCAAGTCTGGCAGAGACTCTAAGTAAGGCACGCTGGAGGGTGTGTGAACTAGTTTGGCCTTTGCAGAGGGCTATGGGGCGATGTCTGTCAGATGTAAGAGATACACACCTTTTACCTAACAATTCTGCTTTTAGGAATTTATCCTTAGAGAACAATGGGATGAGTACAAAAAGGTGTCCGAAGAAGATTGTGTGTTGGTAATATTGGACAGGATCTGAAATGTCGGTTGGTAGGAGAATGGCTACTTAAATTGTGGTTTATCGATGCATGCTGCTGCATTTAACGGCTATTAAAAAAGATGATGTCAATGTACTGTAGATTTAAATAGTCATTGACACATATTTTTAAAATGTTTTGTTTATTTTTTTGAAAGAGAGAGCGTGTTAGCAGGGGAGTGGCAGGGGAGAGAAGGTGGGACAGAGGATCTAAAGCAGGCTCTGCACTGACAGGTTGACAGCAGCAAGCTAGATGCGGGGCTCGAACTCACAAACCGCAAGATGATGACCTGAGCCAGTCAGACACTCAGCTGACTGAGCCACACAGGCGCCCTGTCATTGACACATGTTGAGGAAAAGAGGCAGGGTATAGAACAGTGTATTCCACTTA